CCCCAAAACCCCAAAACCCCAAAACCCCTTAATGATAAAAATATAATTTCCTTAATATATTTATTAATCTTTTATTAAATTAATTAAATGAAATTAATGATATATAGTTTCAATGCCTATCTTAGATAATCAGGCTCTTTTCATCGTTTAAACTTTCTTCTTTTCCATTATCGTTTTAAGTTCATCAATTGGAATAATTTTTATCAGCATTCTTGTTCTCAGTACTACTTATTTGAGCATAAATAGTGAGTACTTAAAGGTAATAATCAAAGAAAAAACCAAAAAGCCAAGGAAAACTCCGAATAGGACAAAATATCTATCAAGCACAACATCCAAGTAGACATCGATTGAAGCATCTACTAGTTCGCAGATTCTATACGATATTGGCCTCAAGATATCAAAATACAAATCCATAAATAATTGAGTCTAAGATTTATATACCCTTTCCCTCATATATTATTTTGTTCTTTAAGAAGCTCTAATGCTTTCATATTAAATTAATTCATTCGTCAAGTGATAATAGGTTTATTAGAATGCATTTCTGTATCCATTAGACATTATTTTGTTTATTTTTGATAGACACCAATCAATATCAATTTAGTCCTCAAAAGCAACGTAACAAGCCTTATCAGTATTTAAAGCCCTAAGATGATCTATCATGAATTGCATTTAAGGCGGAGGATATCTTGTATAATCTTGAACTTGAGTTTCGATATCACCACATTTTTACAAAATATAATCTTGCAATTTTATATTTTCATAGCCTATATACTAAGTCTTGTTTTCAGCATAGGTTTCCAACATGAAATTAAGTGAATTAGTCAAGCACGATATTCTCTATGAAAAAATAAACTGCATATTAAATGAATCAGTTGCTTCTGTGATAACTTGATGGGTAATGAAATATTGACCAAGGAAAAAACCAATAACAATGGAAGTAAATAATGTAAAAACAGTTAGTCTCTTTAGCTTGATCAACCTAAATAATCGCTAAATATCTTGCTTTTTAAATATTTCAGATTCTTCAATAGATTGAGTGTTTTACTTTTGATTTAAACCTTAATTTAATACTACTTAAGATTCCTAGATTACATCTAGTCTTCCACTTTACATAGATTAGAAATTTTTGCGAAGACTATCTTCATGACTTATTGAAACTTCTGATGTTGTTGAAGTTTATTTTAGCTTTTAAAATCTTTGTTTCTTTACAAGTTTCTTTCCATTGAGTTTCTATTATTCTTAGGGATCTAGATTAGGGATTTTATCTTCATTTATTTCTTGTGCAGTACTTTTAAAAGTTGCTAAATTTGGAGCACTGATGTAATCAAGAAAGCTAGTTTCACCGGAGAAGTGATCATCAATTTTAATTTCGGAAAAATTTTCATCATCATGATTGAGCAATTTTGAAGATTTTTGTTTTGGAAACTTATGGAATGATGCTTGATTCCTTTAAATTGTAATCAGAGATCTATCTGAACTGTAAGAGATGTCGTGAAGATCTCCGTGTCTTATTTAAGTAGAATTCATCTAAATTTATTAGACTACTTTTTTTTCAATATCAGGTATTTTAGTTCTATCAGCTTCTACTTATTACATCCATTCGATAAATGAGCAAATGTTTTCAAGGACAACCTTTTTGGTCGCATCTTGAATCATATTCCATTTATATATAACATTTAACTCTTCATCATCAAGATTTGATGTTGTCGGGCTTAGAATTCCAGTAGAGACCACTGATATACCAATACATAGGCAGGTTATAATTAAAAGCGTTTAAATGTATCCTTTTTCTTTATTTTTTCCATCATAAAGATATCTTGTGCTTAGATCGAGCATAAAGTTTCTGATATTTTTATTCCCATTAAACACAATAAACCATGCATCTCTCTAATCGTCTGTTAGATTATTGTTGGTATCTGATAAATAGAAGTTTTAAAATATCTAAACATACTCATCCTCTGATTTCTATAGATAAGCAGCAACTTTACTTAGAAATTACTGAGTTCCTAAGAAAAAAGTGACATTATTAAGGCTTTAATAACCATTTTAATTTATTTCCTCAATTGGGAGTACATTTTGAGTGATAAGCTTTTATAATTCTGCATTATCAGGATGATCATCGTCTATCATTTGATTTTAATAGTACTAAAGCTTTCCAAAAAATTCTCTAATGTGCTCTATTTAGTCATCATAAGTCAGAAATACAGAATTATTTTTTCTTTGAGCAACAAATATCAGCATTCTATAAGACAATCGAAGATTAGAAAGCTCTCTATCAATATAAATTGTATTTTTTGTCATCTCTTAATCTTCATGAAACTAATGATGAGATACAAGTGTGACTGTAAGCATTGCTATTGAAGTTGAAATCATGACAACAAAATATATGATAACAGCTCTTTTTAAATTTACAAGTGATTATGGCAGCTTTTTAAAGTCTAGCATATTTTTAATTTAAAGCATCCCTTTTTGGCTACTACTATTACTTGATTCAGAGCTAATTGATCCAGAAGGAGAAACAAATTTACCTCCGAGTCGATCAATTTGAGTCATAACTTTATTCATATGCTAACTCTAAAAATAGGCTGTTGGATTACCATAATCAGAGAGCTCATCAGCAAAGTAAGCATTCTACTCAGTCTATAAATCTTTAATAAACATTGACTTTTCATGTAAAATGCTCATTGTAAAATCTTCAAGGAAATAAATTTCTTTCAGTTAAATTCCATGCTTAAAGTTGCATTCATTTACTATTAAGTTTATATCAAGAGTCTTTTTGAAGTCAATCTAGTGATTATAGAAATACTTGTTCATTTTAGTTCCAACTCCATTTTATAGATCCTCCTTGGAATAATCACCCAACAGAGGGAATATATCACAAACATTGAATCTGTAATCTTAAATAAAGTTATTTTTGGTATTGAAAAATTTTTGCAGAAAGTTCTGAGATGTATTAATTACAAAACCCTCCTCATCTGCAATTAAAAAATAGACTTGATTACTATTATAAGACAAGTTCTTTAGTAAAACAGGAGGAGCAAATTCGATATTACCTACAAGTAGCAGACCATGAGTTTGAGATATACAAGTTAATACTCTTGCTTGAATTGGGATAATAGCCTCATCGATCCTTTTGAACCACAGCCTTTCGAAAACTCTTTCATAAGGTATTCCGTTATAAGTTGTAAAGTAGTTGTCCAAGATTCTATCGTGAACTATACTAATCATCCTTGGCATGAACTGATTAATATTCTTATTAATAATACTTTATGAAGTCATTCCCACAATCTCTTCAAATAATTAATTGACCATCAAGATATTATTTCTCTTTCCATTATGGTTGGATATTATAAGCAAACCTGAATCAGTTTTTACAACATTATAGAAGTTTCTTATCATAATCTTCTACTTTTCCTTGATTTTTTTGAATACAATCTAAGCCTCGTTCGCTTCAAGTTCAAAGTTCATTACGTTATAGCAGAACTAGTAATTTAGTATAGCTACCTCAGAGAAATCAGGTTTCTTTTTGATTAAGCTATCATAGCATTCTTTTTGGTCAATATAGGAAAGAACAATTCTATTTCCTATAGTCATGAGTTCTGAAAGCTAAATATTTCTATTCAGTAGCCCTTACCAAAATTTTTAGACATTTATAGTCACATCTATCATAGTTTGTTTAAATGTGATATATTCTTATTCTATTTGCATGACTTTTTCAATGTCATAATGATCATGCTTCTTCTCCATGAGATTATATTTCTAAGTCATTAAAAGTTGCAGGAATTCATATTTCTGCTTCTCATTTCTGGAAAGATTTTTATTCTTGAGGTCCATAAGCTTATAGTAGGTAGAAATGATGAAGTCATAGTCATTGAATTTCAGAAATATTTCCATAAATTTTACTTTAGAGGTAGAGCCTGATTCATTAAAATGAAAAAATACAGCTCCTGTTAATATCTTATTTATGAATTCTTTCGTCAATCCATGTCTCAAATCATCTTCATTTTATGTCAATTTTATTCCATAATGATCAGAATCAATGTCACTTATTTTGCATTCTTTATTGATAGGACATTTAAGATCAGTGCATACTCTTTTGTGTTTGTAATAAAATCTTCTAACCTATTGATACTCGAAGGAATTATTCGGGTATCTTTTGAATTTTAGGAAAGCATTGATAAAGACGAACTATTCCTCATCATTAAGTTTAGCCTAATTAAAGCTTTCGAGAACTCTCTGGCTCATTATGCTTCTTTTTATAGATACTATTATAATCAAAGCAAAAGTACAACATAATGTAACTAATATGAATGAGATATCTGTGTATTCTTCTACCAATTCTATAGTAATAGCAAAAAGTAAGGATGTCCATGTTAAGCAATGCTTGAAAATGATAAATTTTTATACAAGGATATTGTATGAAATGATTTTGCTTATTATCACAAAGAGGATAAAAGTTTAAATTACCAGTAGTGGTATTAATGCCACGAAATAACCTAAATTCATGTTATCCTTGGAGTTTAAAATATCGACTGCTGAGAGTATGCATACGTTAGCAAGTACAAACAAGGATTCTATGAATCTAAAATTTGATTCTGGCTTAGACCAAGGAATAGTTCATATTGGAAAAGTTGTGTGCTGATGAAATTGGTGGATGAAAAAAATTACAGCATTTAAAAATAGCCCAACTACTGAGAGGTACACGCTAAAATCCTCGACCTAAATTTCGCAACTTAAATTCTTAAAGCCACATCTTATCATGATAATTTGAAAAACCATGAAGTAGCTGCTTAGGAATCTCCCAGTTAGAAGTATCAAAAAAGAAACAAGACTATATATAGATTTCTCATTTTTTTTCATCTTGGAGATCATTACATCGAATTTAAAGAGTGTAAAAACAATGAGTAACATGACTATGCCTTAAATTGCATTAATACTCTCTGTAACATAATGACTCATTTCACTTTTACGAAGTAGCATGAAAAAATTAACTTTATCGTGCAAGTGATCATCATTTTACTAAGCTATATCTGTTTCTTACAGTATTTAGTTTTAATCTTTTCTGTTAATAAACTCTAATACTGATTCTAACGGCAGAATCAAGCAAAAAACTAAGTCAAAAATCATCATAAGCAAATATACTCTAGTAGTAACTTTGTTATTTTCAATTAGCAAATAGCTGAAAATAGAAATTCTTTTCTGTAATTTGCTAACCCACTAGGAATCCTTTTTCTTTTCATAATTTGACATAATTTATTTGATTTACAATAAATTTAAATAAAAGAGTACAATATATTTATTCAAAAGCACTCTTATTCTCATTAAATAGAAGATTAGGGGTTTTGGGGTTTTGGGG